GGATTGTAACCATGGCAGTGAAATGATATACAATCAGACGAATGTATAACTACTGTTCTCCCATGTAAATTATCAGATAATTCACTTAAAACATCAAAAATAAAAAGGCAAAAAAAAAAAAAGCAAGTTTCACAATCTCTTCTGACATCCATTTTTGTCTTTCATTTCCTTCCTGTCTTTTTAATGACCTTTTGCTTTCTTCCTGTATGACATCCTCGATGCCATTCCACAACTTTTCTGGTTATTAATATCTAATGCATGAAATCTTTTCTTGAGATGGTCTCTAAATTTAGGTGGGATATATTTAAGGTCATATTTTGGCTCTCTTGAACTTATTTTAATTGTCTTTAGCATCAACCTAAACTTGCATATGCGCAATTGATGGTCTGTTTCATAGTCTGTCCTGGTCTTGTGTTTTTGTTTTGTTTTCAAAGGAGAGTGAACAGAAAATAATCAGAAATCCAGGCAGAGTTTGAAAATGAAATTAAACATTAAAAAACTGAGTTCTGTTTCAGGCAGAAACATTATTTTCCATTGTAAATACTATGATTGTTAAGTCCTTGTGTGACTTTTGGCAACTTTTTCTTTTTTTAAGGATATTTTCAATAACTTTGTTTCCTTCTGAATACCCTTACATAACTTCATAATGTTATTTGGAGAAAATTATGAGAGTAAAAAGGTCTTAATATAGAATATTAAATACATAATCTCAAAATATTTCAACAAAGTTGTTCCACTGGTGTTCTTTGGAATGCTGGTTTTTTGTTTTTGTTTTTTTTTTTAATGTTTTATTGTGAATTATGTGATAGTTTACATGGAAGTTTACATTCATCCTATCATATATCATTACATTGTCATGGTTATAATCCCCTCTATTTATCATCAACCAACCAAATGGTATACCCTGAAAGCCTGCTGCCAGGTTGTCAGCACATGGCCCCTCTCCCTCTCTGGGTCTAGAGTTCCCAGCCACTCCATCTCTCCACGTCATCATCTCTGCTTCCATTTCTGTACCACAGTTTGTTTATCCATTCTTCAGTTGATGGGCACTTTGGCTGTCTCCATCTTTTTGCTATTGTAAATAGTACTGCTGTAAACATTGGTGTACTTGGTATTTACCCACAAGAAAAACGAGCCACAACATGAGAAGATATATGCCTCCATTTCTGGTATCACTGTTTCTCTGGGTAGGGTCCCGCACTCTGATCTTCTTCCTTGATGGTCCCAGGACCCTCCGCTCCTGGACTGCAAATTCAACCACTCCCTTCCTTTTGCTACAAAAGTCTACCTTTACATTTTCAGCCCTCACGATCAGTCCTGATAACAATTATTCACTATTGTACCACATGAGTGCTATCCCCATCTCCTTTCATCAGTCCCTCCCAGACAGATTGGATACTACTCAGTGGAGATTCTACCTTCCTCCACATGCTCTGGATCTAGCCTCCCTCTTGAAAGCTTGTAGGCCAGTCACTTAATGCCTCTGTAGCTCCCCTATTTTGGGTAGCCAATGTCCAAGTTGCCCATCACTGTCAACCCTGTGTATTGAGGGGGTTGTTGTAAAGATTTGTTCCCTCTTTTGAGCTTCTGCATCCAGAGGTGTAGGTCAAGTTCATCAAATTGTATCAGATTCCATTTTTTTCCTTCTAGTTGAGCTCTGATCATCCAGCCATTGAAACCAGGTCAAATGGGTATTATCTGCAAGTGTGGGTGTTCTTGTGCATATGCCCTCTCTTCTTATCAGCTGGACGCTTCACTCTCC